TTGAATCTTAATTTCTTTCATTTGTTTTCTATCATGTATGAATTCCAGTCCAAGGTAAACATATTCATTATTGAATAAGCTTTAAATAATGTTTCTCTCTATGCTGAATCATCTATCTTTTGCATTTTGCATTTAACATTGACAGCTATCTTTGTTTTTGTCAAGAGCATTCTCAGTCCTATTTTCTCCTGCATGGTTGAGTTCTTCATCAAAACCAGCAGCTTTCTGTGAGTTGGCCTATTTTGCCCATGTCTCCAAAATGTTTCTATTACTTTATTTATGGTGAACCATTTTTCTTGCAAATAAGCATCAAATTGACAGTTCCTTCAAAAACTATGAAGAACAGTTTTTCCTTTTCTGAATATTTGGAGACAGTGTTTATATCATCTTAGCAACCGACAGTGCTGCAATTTTCATTCACATCTATTTCTCCCTCATACAGAACAGTCCCTGGCACCTCCCCACATCGATGGTTTTATGCATTTCTATATATGTGTAGGCAAAGATTGATTTGATTGCAAAGGTACACACCCACCTGTTCTTGTATCATCGGGTATGTTTTTGTACACAACAATTTACCACTCTTGATATAATTGTAGCCTAATGGAGTCATCATAAAAGCATCTAAATACAGTATAAAAGTCTTATTATGTGTAGCCATATTTGATTTGATACTAAAACCGACAAATCCTGCCTTCAAATAACCCCAGAATATCAAAAAGCAATTTACCATGAATTTATCAGTAACCTTTATGAAATAATTTGCATGAAGCTGTGGATGTTACTTTATATATATATATATATATTCATATTATTTTAACTGTAGATTCAGAGGCAATCTAAGGCTATGATGACTTACTAGCTCCTATCTGGTCTGTGGCTTGGAAGAAAGATTTGACTTAAACTCAGCAATCAATGCTTTGGGTAGGATGCATACATTTAGAAGCTTTTGCGGACTAAATGTATCTTTTACTATATATCAACTCCTGTTACTACTTTTACTGCAATCAAATCTATGGTTTTCAGCTGCAGCAGCTGCACTAATAATATGACCTTTCTACTGAGCTTCAGACACATAGTAAGACTGTCTCAAAGAGTTTCTAAACTATTAGGCACACTGATTAGTTTGGAAATATTAACTACCTGCCTGAGGTCATTTAGGTGCTGAGCAGAACTGTTGATGGAGCCCATGCCTGTTATTTCCTCCATATTTCTACATTCTGTGTACTTTCATCCTGCATCTTCTCTGGGGAGACATAAACTGAAGTCTGGCCCTCTGTGCACCAGCAGTTCTCAGTTACTGAAGCTTAATGTTTTATTAAAGAGTCCGTCTAGCCACTTCACAGCTACTGAAGTTTTAGCACAGCAAGAATGCTGGCATTTTCACTCCCTTTCTCTGTGGTATCAGCACACCCGTATCTCTGCTTCCGAGAAGGATTACACAGCACCAAACTTTGCCCAAAATCTGAGCCGTGCTGTTGCTACAGCAGAGACAGGTTATCCTCCTGACTCCTTTACTGACTCAAATTACCACTGAAGACATAATAGTTGAGGCATCCAACGTTGTGAGCAGGCCTCCAAAACTTGATTGCCTGATAAAATCATCCTGAAACTTCCTTATTATTCCAAAGGGGCTAGAGCTGTAGCTGCCTCATGGTGCTATTATCTCTAAACTACAATTCAAGCCTCTTATAACTGGCCTGGCACAAATTGCACACTGTGCTTGGACACAGAAATGGCACGTGGCTACATTCTGAATTACACAGATCTAAAAGGACGCAGCTAGAGGGGAGCATTTTAGAATCAAGTCATACTTCAAGGAAGTACACCTGGCAGATAGACCAAAAGCTCAGATTTCAGGCTGAACAGAGGTTTAACTTTTTACAGATATCACTCTCAAGGAACTACTAATGAGTAGCCAAACTTTCCCCTCTTGAGCATTTTTGAAGCTATTCTCTTGGTGAAGAATATTCTTTACGGTCATCAAAGTTCAAAAAATGACAAGGCTGGAAGGTTGTGAGGTTTAACATAACTGAAAAGTCCTTTAAAACGGGAAGAGGCTAGCGGGAGAGATGCTGGTAGCTGGCATTCTGAGCCTTCGCCCCACTCAAAGTACAGGATATATACCATTAATAGCATCCAAACATTTTCTGACACAAGACAATATACTCCACGTTATAGCATCCCTTAAATCAGTCTGGTAACAGAAGCTAGCTTGGACTGCAGAAGCTCATTTACCAAATAGCGTAACTTAGTCTGAGTATGACAGCAGAGCCCCAGTACCTGCTCTTATCAATGCCTGGGAGAAATTTATGATGCTGTTCTTGATCTGTACAGCTCTAAATTACAAGGGACTTGTCTATCTCAGAGACCACATGTCTTCCCATGCCACACTGCCACAGCTGCTGTCAGCAGAAAGACTCACGCCAGACACATTTGGTATTAAAGAAGGGGAAAAAAAGTGAGTTGTCAGCAAGACTAACTCACCAGGGGACAGGCTGCTTTGCAATTTACTCCCACCTTTGGTTTGAAATAGCTAAAATCTATTGACCCTTAAAGCGGGCTGAAAGGTACACTGCTTTCTCAGGAACACAATCAAAAGTGATGTTTTTAGACATATCTGAAAATCATGCTTGCTTTCTAACTCCTGATTATTTTCCTTTTGTTAAGGTTATGAATAGGAAAGTAATCTGATGTCTTTGCCTTTAAGACACTGTTCTTTAACTGAATATCTAGACCCCAGAGCATGCACATTTTACTAAAACAGGATTTCAGACAGCATTATAGGAAAGAATAGCATAGCAGAGGTACTCTGACAGCTCTTCTTTACCTGCGGAAGGGATGCCATCTATTTTGTTACAAAGTGCTGGCCTTTCTCCAGTTTAGTTTGGTAAAGGATACAGGTAACAGATTACGCACATATATGTTAGCTTGATGAGACCTCTAAGCAGAGCCAAAAGATGTCTGCTGTTAACTGGCACTTCCAAATCATATTTTTGTGCTCCACTTGCCCATCCCTAATTGGTTCAGTTAATTAGTGCTAGGATACAAGCCTTAATGGCAAACTTATAAAAGACAAAGCCATTTCACAGAAGGGGAAAAGCCTTTTCTGAAGCTAAATACCACTTAATGGGTATCTAAATCTCAGGTTAGCTCTATTTTGCAGGTAAAATAATGAATGCCAATTCCACAATAAGGCATTCACATTTTATCCGTGTGTTTACAAGGCTGTATACCCAGATCCTAGTAAGATCACTTCACTTTTCCAACCTAAGTACAAATTATAAATAATGATTCTTTGGAGAGCAGGAAATTTCTTGAGGAACACAAAAGGATTTCTCAAAGTACAGCTTTTCAATAATAAGAATAAGTCTACTTTTCTTATACAGAAATCAGAAATAATGTAAACACATAATAACATTTGTGAGTGGCTAAATAGCTGACTTGTTCAGTTATCACCTACAAGGAGTCCTCACACTTTCATAGCACGGTGATTAGCATTCTACTATTGGATCTTTTCCATCACGCACTAGCAAATCAATCGTTTTCACATCTGCTTGTAGCTCATATTTCCCCAAAGGATCTCAGTGATCATATTGCTTTTCCATTTTCCAATGTACTGTCTGACCTTTTCCCTCAAGGCCTTGCACAATTCACTTTAGTCAATCACTTCTTATTGATTGTTAGCACTTGCTCATTCCCCATCTATCTTTGTTTTGTGGGATATAATTTGTTTTGTTTTGGTTTGGTTTTTTTATATGTCTTGTCATCCACTTGCTGCTCCTTCCACTCTTGTTGCTTTAGATTTCTCATTTAGCTTTCTACTTCTGATCTGTTCAGCCTTCATTGCAGTTCAAGACTAAATTTCATCTTCTCTCAGCTTATCCTTTCTCTTGTACAATATCTGTATACTCAAAACAAACTTCAGCTTCAGCACACCAGTCTTCACTTAAGACTGTTCATAAAGTGCTGTTCTTTTGTGAATTTATAGGGTTCTACCAAAAATCCTTTCTTGCTTTATAATTTCTCTTGACACTTCTGTTTCGTGTCATATATACAATTTAGTACTGCATATACTTCCTTCTTATTAGGACGAAGCAAAGAGAACACGGTGTCCTTGGAAACATTTTTTCACAATTCATCCAACGTCAAATCCTGTCTGGTTACCTAAAAATTCTCATGCTTTCCTGCAGGGCACAAACACTGGCTCATTTGCAGCTGCCATCTTACCTTTCTTGGCTTCGTAAAGACTGACATGTTGAACGCTTCTGCCCTTACACCTTGCCAGTAAAACAGACCCACAGAGCCAGTAACCTCAGCATCCAGCAGCACAGAACTGCAATGCCAGGAATCCCAAAATCACTTACTCATCCTTTTCCATCAGTTAGCATGCCGGTGCTGTTAAACCCATTCACTTCACAATAGTGTCAACTCAGAAAATAATGTTGTTTAAGTAAGAACTGGGGATAAGAAACATGTTACATAGCTCTTCACTAAAAGCAAGTGGAGATTTTGCCAGTCTGTTTTCCCTAGTAAGACTCTTTATGGGCTTTCACAAATATAGATAAATCAGAATGGCAAACGTCAACAGGTGCTTCTCACAACCACTGGCTGCCAATGAATGATGCTGCAAATGCAATGCGAGTAGGACCAATCTATCTGAAATTTCAAATCAGCTCTCTTTACTACAAGCGAAACTCCTCATGGTGGGAACAGAAAAGGAAAGCTCTCCATGTTTTCCTTTTTTCCCTACTCTGAAATTAAAGGAAAAAGGAAACACCTCTGTTGAATCTCCTCCCCTTTTCACACTCCTCACAAGAATGTGTGGGTAGAGATGTGTGGGTGGATGTTTGAGAACAAGGCAGGTTCTTCTACACAACTGTATGCTATAGTAAGGTTAGTTTATTGCCTTTCCTGTCTGACAAGATGTAAGAAAACAAATTTAATTTTCTGAAGAGTACCAGCTTTATTCAAGTAAATGCAAGGAGAATTCAACTCACCGTCTGCAAAAACTGCTTCATAGATGTAAGACAAAGAGTCACCAGGATTTTCATTCTGTGGCTTACCTAGGAAAAAGTAATGGTATCTTTAATTGTATCTAACTGGAAATATCTTTAACTGGTCATCAACTCATTACAGTGATCAATGCTATCCTACTTGATTATTTCACAGAATATTTAGTTTGCTCTAAGGAAGATCTTAGCATCAGAAATCAAGCTGGTGGGAAAAAAGCAAAAACTGGCAAAATAAAAGAGTTAAGAAAACAAATGGACAAGCAACCTAAAACCTTAGAAATAAGTAAATACCACAACACCAATTTCTGCTTTCTTTTTTAGATTAAATTCTGTATGTTACTTTAGATGTAAGATAAAGCTATTTTAAAGCTAGAGTTCTGCAGATAGAAAACAAACAATCCAAGGGCTAGTGGAGAGGAACAAGCCTAGAGAGATCTTTAGATGGAATTGCATTTATCCCCTTTTCAGTAAACATCCCTGTGACTGATCCTTTCCATTTACTATAGCAGGTAAGCAATGTGGGCTTGAGGAAGAAGAGAAGTTTCCCTGAAAGTCAATATAGCAACTGGGACAGGAGCTGGGCAAAACAAGAGAGAATAGAATCATGTGCAGGAAAATGAGAAATGGAAAAGGGATGCAGGCGTTGGAGGTTGGAAGACAACTGTGCATGGCTGTCTTTGGTAATACAATAAATCTGGCTACCAAGTTCCCAGCAAGGGCCACATTATGTAAAAATTGTTGAAATTATTTTGATGGGTTAATACCTACCAGGAAACTTTCTGCCATATTATGCAGTATCTGTCTATGCCACTCTTTCTTTATGCTGGACCAAATTATCACTTCTTTCCACATCTGAGGCAACACTGACATAAGAGATACAAGGCCTGCTTGAGCTTTGTATTGTGAAATCCAGCTAACTCAACAAACATCCTGTTGTACAGCACCTGTGGGATCCTGATCAGGAACTCAGGTATATTGCTGGGTGCTCCAGAAGTGAATAACCAGTAAGACTGAAAAGTAGGAGCCACTGGGTAAAGACGCCAAGGCTAGGATGAGAAGAGGAGCCTGGGAAAGTGATTGCTTTACAATGACTTTATTAAGGTTGCATGAAACCCAGCACTCAAAAGCAGTTTTTTTCCTTTGTAGTATATTGTTGACTATTTCTTTTAAATTTATCTGTACTGTGGACAAGACCTATTCTGGCATTAACTTGTAGTTTTGTACTTAAAGAAAGTGGTGTTTACTGTATTCTGATACAGTTTTTCTTGTACTAACAAGAGCCCAGTGAATGAGGGAAGGAATCGAGTAAGAGCAAGGACAGGGACACCAGCTGATTGCTGTTTTAGAGAATTTCAGGTTCCCATCCTGAAGTTTTCAGGCAAAAAGCTAGAAGGCTTTTAAAACATGCTTTTCAGAAGCACTCATTAGTTTTGCATTGCACTTTCTGTGAAAGACGTTACAGCTGACCTGCAGATATCTAAGCAGTCACAAACGCATCTGAAATTAAAGGGAGTTTGAATATGGATATAAAAACCCCTGTATAAGTAATATCTTAAAGCGGTATCAGAAGCAGAAGAAATGATGCACCCTAATCTTGCTAAATACTAGTGCATAAGATGACGATAAAATGAAATAATGTTTGGACAGCATTCAATACAGAAAGGAGTTCTACCGAAAAGCACATTAGTAAATTAATAATTCTGTTTCTCAACAGGATTTGAATGGCATTCAATATATAAATAATGCAACCACAAAGTCAAACACAAACCAAAGTATCAAATAACTGCTAATTAACTGAGCACTATTTATCCTGTGTACTAATGAGGGCAGGTTCTTGGCAGTGTGGGAGTGGGAAGAGGGCACTTACATAATGACAGGCAGTCGATGCTAGGAACAAGGGTTCTAACTGAAGTTTAATAGGCTACTTTGTACCTGTAACTTTTTGACTTTTGAACACCTAACTTTGTAACTGTGATAACATTTTCTGGACCAAGTTCTCCTCATAGCCATTTAAGTAAGTACAGAGACTCTACCCAAGAGCAAAATCTGATTCTATACAAAAAAAGTTGTGCTCTTGCTAACCTAACAGTGAATTTTTTTTTCAGTATGAACTTAAATAGGTGCTACACTTCACTTTTTTCAGAGATAGGTGTTACAATTTTTTTAATCTGGAAAACAGCATGATCCTTATTTTATCCTATTTCCAAGCAGCTGACACTAACTTAACAGAAATGTATCATGGTGAAATTACAAATAGGAAGTTTGTTTTAACAACACTGGTGTGCCAAAAAATATACAAAGAATGCATTTCCAGAGGAATTCTCCAGACATCCTACAATAACAGCTTTTCAGTAATTGTGACTGGTAACCACAATGCAAAACCTGACAAGAGTCAATACTGCATTATATGAAAGACATAGAAACATAGAAGGTATTGTGTTGGAAGGGACCTTTAAAGCTTATCCAGTCCAACCCCCCTGCAGTGAGCAGGGACACTGTTACCAGATCAGGTTGCTCAGAGCCCTGTCAAGCCTGACCTTGAATATCTCCAGGGATGGGGCCTCCACCACCTCTCTGGGCAAACTGTGCCAGTGATCTACCACCCTCTTATTGAAGAACTTTTTCCTAACATGTAAGACTACAAATTCACACAATCATTTTACAGTTCTAGCTGCAAAATACCTGCTGGAAATCTTAAACTTAAATTATTTGCAAGCTTTAGAAATAGCCTCATAACTGCAACTAAATACTGACTGATGACTGTTGTGCCACAAACAAGACCTAAATTTGGATGGTGCCCACTTTCAACCTTAAAAGAGCAGAATAAGGATGACAAATCCATTCATTCATTTTAAAAATAATAATAAAAAAATGACCTAAATAAGCAACAGTAAAATCACAGTACATTAATTTAAATTAGTACATGCCGCTGCAGTAATGCTGATGTTCTGGTCATTTGACTTTTATTATTAATAAAACTTTTAATGAGCTTGTCCTAAATGCTATTAAAAACATTCATTTTAAGAGGTCAGTACATTCACTTTTCCAGGTGTAAGCAGTTTTCATCCAATTAGTGTCAAAAATAAGAGGAAAAAACATTGCATACATGATGTGTACTTCAGAATCCAAGGGTATGGGTCACCATGACTGGCTAGACAGATCGAAACAGAAGCTGCTAAGAAACCTGATTATAGAATGAACAGAGAATAATTTGCAGAAGTAAAAGAAGAAAGAACAAAGAACTCAAACAGTTGAAGCAGCAGGGGATGGCAGTCTCAACATCCTATCTATGGTTGCCACCTCCAAGTTGTCACTTCAGTTTCTCTTCTGGTTTGAAACAGTAGTTTTCTTAACAGTACTCTTCCTGGTGATTAAAACTGCGTGCAGGTACACTGAATACATTTTAGGTAACAATCAGAAATTTATGGCATATTGTCGTCTCAGGTAAAAGTTACATATTCATTCGGAGAATCTTTCCCGTGCTGTCAAAGACCGTGGAAGCAGTTTTCTAGTTGGGTTACGTTACTTCGTATACCTCTTCTCACTTTAGAATACTATGGCAGATAATGAATGGATACTTGTACATTTCCTGAAGGGTTCTCAACAGAATTAATACATTGAAAGTATGTCAACTGAATATAAAAAGGGGTACACAGTTCAGCAGACCAAGGAGAAGTTGTAGAAAGAAAAAGGAAAAGACAGATGCAGACAAAATGTCTCCTGACTTTGCTTTCAGCAATATTAAGGAACGCTGTTACAGAAAAGTCATAAATTGAGTCACACTGGGCCATCTTAGGTATTAACACAGAATAATAAGATTTCTGAGTGTACTACCGTTTTCCAGAGATTTATCTTTTTTTATGGCAAGAGGCCCTTATACAAAATTCAAAACCAACTTTAAATCTGAATGTAGCAGTTTCAAACAGTGATTTTGTGAACAAAAGTCCTGCTAAAGGAATCTTTTGACAACAGTTAAAATATTTGCATTCCTCTTCATGCATAAGGTGAATATAATAAAATCTGTCACCATCCAGGAAGCATATGTCAGAATGGCCAGTTTTCATGTCTCAGTTCTCCCTTTTCTCCTCCGAGAGCCTGTTCAAACAGGAATGACAAACCTTTCAGATTTTGTGTTTCAATCACATTACAAGGCAAACAAGCTCTCTGCTGGGTACAAAACCCCCTACATTTTCCATTTTGTTTAGTCCTACTGAGCATTTTAATTAGTATTAGGTTTTGCCTAGAACTTTTGGCATATATACTGTTGTAGAGGTAGAAGGAAGTTTTAACAGATAATGAGCCCTATCTGCTCCAACAAGATGAAACTGACACCATCTGGTATGTGAAAGGTTTTGGCAAAACAATTGGGGGGCATATTAAATCAGATTTATTTTGTGCTCTTTCCATCTCAGACTGTAGAGACAGTGCAAAGACAGCTGAGAACTTACCTTGCCTAGGAACTTTGCAGGGTATGGAGAAAGCTGTAGCAGAAGGACGGTGATTACTTGCACCTAAGCTATGCCATCATTAATGCTCTTCAGGACTGTGAGGTAACAACCTGATTTAGCATCTGCCCTCAATTCTCTCTATCCACAAGTCACTCCTGAGCCCTGGCATCAATCAGACCTAGCATCTTGATGGCCTGCTGTCCTATGGGATCAACAGAATTTAGTTGCAGTGGTGCACAACAGCATGGTGCCATGTAATCATTATAATTAAAGCACATCACTAAATTTTCAGACTTCAGTAGAGTGACAGCTCTTGTTAATACCAAGGAGACAAGAAAGTACAAATACATGGATAATAAGTTAACAGCAATTAACAGTTCAGGGGAAAAAAGGCAATGGAAAAGCACAAAGAACATACACAGAAGTATTTTCATCACTATCTCCAAAAGCAGAAATATAAGGCACAAGGGATGAGCACTGAAAACTATTAAAAGCAACAGAAGATGATGATCCATTTGAAGAGAGATGGGAAATCTTGTGATAGTCCTGAAGAAAGGCATAAAAAAACGGCTCCAAAGGAAAAACACTGGAAGTGAAAAACACTGGAAGTATACTTAATAACCCCATAGCAAGCCATTTTAAATACAAGGGAAAAAATCTTTTTCCCAGATGTGTAATCTGTCAAAATCCCTGCCACAGATATCACAAAGGCTAAGAGCTTAATAGGATTCTATAAAAGAGTATCATAAATACAGACACTGTCGTCACCATGATCTTTAAGCAAAGGTAAATAATGATAAGACACGCACATCTTCATTCCTCAGAGCTTAAATCAACACCCAGGTGACAGCAAATCTCGCACTTGAAATACTATCACTGTGCAACAGAGAGCAGTGCAGAGGTCTCCCAGCAAGCACCCATCTGAGCTGGCCTGCCTGATGTCCAGGGCACACCAGTACAGAAAGAACAGGGCCAGAGCAGTTCTCAGCTGTGTGTATGGAGGTGAGCTTTGTTGCAGATGCACCCGCCCTGCTAAGGACCTGCTAAAGACCCAAAAAAAGCAGCGCCAAAGTTCCTGCCCAGGCCAGCTCCCCATCACAGCTCCTGCCAGGTGCACGCAGTGAGGGTCAAAGGTGGGAAAGTTGGGGTCCTCAGCCAATAAGTGACTGACATGACCACATTTTGAACACAGATCAGATTCAACCAGGGTATAAATGGAGCCCCGACGGAGGGTGCATTTGACTCAGTACCTCCTTGGAGTAGCAGGTCTGCAGTCAGAGACTCTCCCCTTTCTGGATCATTGGGCCTCAAACATAAGAATTCTTAGCTCAGCTGTGTGTGGTAATATTCCCGGCCCGCATATCAAACTGTATTTGTTAAATGTCAGCAGAATGTTGTTTTGGTGAATGCAGTTTTGGCTGCTTGATTTCAGTTGCAGATTAAAAGCTTGTTTGAGTTCATTACTTGTGTGTGTGTAGCCATTCTGGTGCACTTCCGTGACAGACTTTCACCCTGAAGTACCAAGCAGCAACACTACTCCCAGTCCTATACCTAGTTCAGTCAATTGAACTTCTCTGATCCCTGCCACAGTCTATGCATCCCTGGTAAAGATGTACATACTAAGATTGAGGTCTTCAACAACTACTCACTAATTCAGCTTTGTACTCATCTCTGAAGTTGCTGATATTGACCACTGCCAGAGAAAAGATGATTTGAGCACCTATTCGTCACCTGACATTACAGCATAAGTAAAATCACAAAGGCAGATGCAATAAATAGTTTTGTGAACATACAGACCTAAGCAAAAAAAAAGTCATCTGTCTTCTAGGAAACTGTTTATCTTTGCAGAAAAGTGTGCAATTTCCTGTGCATGACTGACTGTCATGGGCTCAGTTCCTTCCTATACACATGCACAGTATTGACCCACTGTTTTCACACCACTAAAATGCTGCCAAGGAACTTCAATCTGAAGTTAAGTATCAGGCACAGTCAGAAATTGCAAACATGACCTCCTGAATCCAAACCAGGAAACTGTAATTAGCCCCAAAACTCAAAGTCTGAGAGATGCTCAGAAAAAGATATACTGAGGAAAAGGTTAATAAATACTGAACAGCAAGGAGTGTTAGAACAGGAGATGGTTGGGAAGGAGAAGTCTAAAACTTAGTTTTGAAAGCACTGATCTGATATAGCCAGACTGTGTGTAGACACATTCTGGGCAGGTCTGAAAGCCTTCTTATATGCTTAAGCTTATCTGCTCAGGCACAAGGCAGCAGGGACATCCAGCTAGGTCACTCTGACTCAGCTGGGGTCTCTCTACCTCTTATGTTCAAAAGAATATTCTTGGTTGTTTCTCTGCATCCAAAACCAGCTTTATTTCTGAGTAAAACACATGAACTGCCGGATATCTTTCTCAAGCACAAGCTCCTGTGGCAGTAAAATGGCCCCTTGCAGGTAACAAAGACAGAAGCACAATGTTTTGCCTAGTAGACAAAATCATGACAAAATAACAAGAGCAAAGAGAGAGACCCAGAGACTACAAATAAGCAGCAGTAAATATGCTTTCAAAGGAAAACACACAGCCATCTACCCGAAACCTCTGCACAATCACATTGCCTTTCCAAAGTCACCCATGCATCTGCCTTTAGAAAGCTATTTCTTGATTTCATTTGGGTTAAACTAAACCATGGGCACAGACTTTGCCATTTCAGTACATCTCACTCTCCGGAGAGGGGTTTTTCGTACATTCCAGAAGTGCTAATTTTTACATTAACGCTTCTTTGTAGTTTCCATGAATGTGCAAACACATACAAACTGGATAGTTTTAGCCCTTCCAGTACAGACTTATTACTTGGGTTAGTAAAAGGGGAAGTAAACTTGTGCTTTTACAGCTTTTGTGTGTTACAAAGGAAATTATGCTATCCACAAAACTGGGTCCTGCCCAGTAATAATTTTTCACTCTGTCAGGTTTATCTAAAGCGATATACACAGTCACATTAAGGCATTTTGAAAGAGACAAAACAAACTTTGGTGTAGTTTCTGAGATTTGCAAACTCAGGAAACAGAGAAACAAGTGTATGTCAGCTCTACAATCTTACCATGAAGCAGTGATGGTAGGTTCACAGATGCCAGTGGCAGCTTTTAGAATTCCCAAAGCTGCTTCTCTGTGAAAGCGAAGCTGGACTAAGAGTACAACAGTTTCATCACGCTTCAGCGACAAATGCTTCATCAAACTAAAACTGCTGGACCAAGCTGAAGAGAGATCATTTCTCCAGAAAATCTGAGTTATCACATTTTTTTTCTCTTCCAAATGATATTACTACAGCTAAGAAAACTCTTTTAATAATAGTAAGTTTTCATTTATAATTACCTGGTTGAATAATTCCAGTAATAACAGAAAGATACTCCTCAGGTTCCTGATCAGTGGAAATCTCTTTGCTGCCTCCATCTAAGGTCAGTTTCTCATAAAGAATCTCCGAATTCTCCACTCCACAAAGCAGAATCACCACAGTATCTGGAGGTTTTAGAACTTCCTCCAGAAAATAACTTCTCTTTCGATTCAAGCAGTTAAGAAGTCCACATGAAAGTATCAGGAGTTTACATTTATAACAGAGTAAAGAGAATAGCTCTTGGTGCTTGAAAGATGAAGTCTCCAGATTGCAGAGTAAGATTCCTCCTCTGTTTACTATGTGTCCAAAAAGAGATTTTAAATACAGAGCCCACTCTTCTGCTTCTTGTTCATATATCACGAGAATATCCTTTGTATTTTCTAGAAAGAAAACATAAAAAAAAATAATTTCAAATGCATCTTGAATCCATTATAAGTATCAGAAGAGAGACTGTTAGTTTTCCCCCCTTTTAAAAACCTGAGGTGCTAAAGAAACAGAACAGGTCATCACCTTGAAAAGACAACCGTCTGCTTATTTCTAGACCAAGGCAGAAAGATAATTCACAGAAATGCTGGTCAGATACCTCAGATTATTTTATGTTTAGAATAGCTCAAACAAGCATTTCAGAATAAATACTGAAATTGCAGTGCAGAAAGCAGAGTGCATTCACACATTCTGCTCAATCCTAGATTCTTGACAAATAGGTGCATTAAAAATGCAACAGTTAGCTTTCAGTGGCAGAAGTAAAGAATATATATTTGAACGCTGGACATGATCTGACTTCATTGGAAACAGGACTGATATGTTTAGGGTATTTTGACAGCATGGCATTAGGAGAGTCATTAGTGATCTATCTTTACTGTCCAGATTCTAAACAAATTTACTTACGAATCTGACAGAAATAAACCTAGAGCTACATTTTCCAAGTTCTGATTTCCCTTTAAGACATAATCCATGATGTTAGTAAGTAGATCAGTACTTTTCCTCAGTGTTACAGGGGGACAGTATGAAACACAGGAGACAGGCCCAAGCTGCAACACAGGAGGCTGGCTGTGAGGATCAGGAAATGCTTTTCTCCTGTGAACACTGGCACGGGCTGCCCAGGGAGGCTGTGGAATCACCCTCCTTGGAGCTGCTCAGGAGGTACCTGAACAGGTCCTGGCTTCAGATGGCCCTGCTTCAGCAGGGCGGTTGTACAAGGTGGCCTCCAGGTGTCCCTTCCAACCTCAGCCATTCTGTGAAACCATAGAAAACTGTAATTTGCTGATCAATACAATACATATTAAAATGCCACGGTAGCTTAATACCCCTGAAGTAGTTCACAACAGCAGCCCTGTGGAACAACAGTAAGAGAGTCAGAAATAGATACGGCTGCTGCACTTCACCTCCACTGAACTTCACTGTGTCTTCCAGGTTCCTGATGGGGCAGGCAACCTGGCCAGTACCTGTCTGCAGTACACCACAGCTTCTCTGCAGCTGAGTATCTAAGCTTCTTTGTGAGCATCAAGAGACATGGAAATGGTAGAACAGGGACACTATGGCTTAGCCTCGAGTTCATCACATGTCTATAAACTGCTTGGAGGATAGCTACCGTCTTTTAAACATTTGTAAATACTCATCCTTTGAAAGGTTTTCTGTCATAGGAAATCATGGTCATGCTCAGTATGGTAGTGGGTGGTGATATTTCAAGATGACTGACCCTGACTACTACATTAGAGCAGGGTAATATTAATCAAAATGTATTTGGAAAGGTAACTGCTACATTTTCCATGATAAAAAACATTCTGAAAAATGACTGTTTCTGCTGAAATGCCAAAGTTTAATTGTAAAAATAAGAGTAGGGCACTTCTTATTTAACTCAGAGCAAAGTTATGTGTTTCATGACACTAGGGCAAGAAATCTACTTGCTGCGATGTTATTTGTTTTCAAAATCTCATTTGATTTTCCATAACACTCACATAAAAGTAAAAGTAGACCAAAAAAAGCTATGAGAAAAGCTATGTTCAGTTTCAAAAGTAGAATTTATATTAACAGAGCTGTAAGGCCAGAAGCTTGTTTAGTCTGACCACACCATTTCATATCACAGGAAATGGAATCACTAAGCACCTTCTATTTTCAGTCGCTGTTTACTAAAGCACTGTAGTGGTCCTTTAAAAATATGGGTTTAAAGAGGATGCTAAATCCATGAAGAAGATTCAAGAATTCATTCTTTTAACTGTTTTGAATTTGCTTAGTTTCAAATTCCAGCCACAGAACATAATTGTGTCTATTTCTGCAAGGTAAAGAAGTATCTGCTCTCAGAAACCCGTCCCCTAAGGTCTCCAGACTCCCATGAAGTGACTCTTAGCTTTGCCTTCATTACAGTTTGTAAACTGGGATTATTACTCTTCCCGCTACAAGAGACAGGACACCATTCTTTCTGCACTTTTGTGAACTTTCCTGCCTGTTCAAAATATGTTTTGAGGAACCCAAAACTGTACACAGGGTAGGAGTTCCTTGATATAGTGTATGGGAAGAATAAAATACTCTCATTTGACATTACCTCAGTCATGCATGGAAAGTTCACATTCAGTCTTTAAGTGAAAAGATCTCAATTTAAGTTCACGCTCAACTGTGTTTTCTTCTTTTATGATGGACTCGGGTAAGGAGATAGCTAAGTGGAATTGCAGGGAGAGATAAAAAGCATGTTTAAATTGCATGGTAAAAGTGGTATATTACAGCTTCCCAGAATCTTGGTGTCCTGATTGTGCGGAAGAGGAATCTGCTGGTGCCTTCCGCAGCACCCACTTGGCCAAGAGTCTGAGTTTCCTCTCCATGTAGAAGAGCTCTGATGAGGAATGGTGCACAACTGCACCTCATTGCTGTGCAGACTGGAAGCACCCAAAAGGCATTCCTATATCCCAGAGCAGGAAAGAACTGCTGGACCCAACCATTCAGGTACAGTTGAAGAGCTCCCTGTATGCTGGGCATGGAGGACCATGTACTTTGGTAGAAATAGTCTAAAAGAGCTGACAGTATAGAATAATCTTAATAAAAATACACCTAAGGTGTAAAGTCTTACACCCTTATACCCTGTGCAAATGGACAGTACCAGCCTTGAGTGCTCAAGAAATTCTACAGATAAAAGTGAGGAAGTTGCATTGAAATGATAAAAGGAGATGAAGTAATTCTATTTCCATATGGTATATCTGCACTTAAGTCTGCAGCTTTGATCTTAGCAAAGTGTAAATGAGAAAGCGGTTTTAAGATACTTATTGAAGGCCTGACTGCATTTCTTTTTAACTATATTGATTTTTATATATAAGAAAGCTTTATTTGTGTAAGAAAAGGGAGTGAAATATATCTAACACCACATTTGATGGAAGAAAGGCTCTGCAGCATACATCTCATAGAACTTTAATACAGCTACCATATTTAATTTGTCTTTTCTATCTATCTGTATAGAGAGGGAAGAGTTAGACTGCTGAAGAAAGACTCATATGAGCGAGGTATTTTGTGCTGCAGTTTGATGCGGTGTTTATTGGTTTGAAGAAAGCAGCTAGTGCTATCAAGTTACCTATGGAAAACCAAATGTGGGCTTGTTTTGAATTATATGCTTGTATTTTTTTCTGCCATTGATTTGCTTTCTGGATTGAGAGTTAACTTTGATATTAAGCAGG